TCGGCGCGTGCGACCGACCCGCACGAATGGCGTGGGTTGCGTTGCGGTCGAAGTTAATTTTCGATTTAAATGTCGGAAGCGTGAATTGCACGTCATCGAGTAATTTAATTATTTCATTGCATTTTAGTGTGCCAGTTTATTATCATAGCCAGGATATTTTAACAAAAACATTAATAGCGAGCGCAATGTCGATTTTCATCAAGTAATAATTGATTCAAATTATTATTTAAATGATTGGCGCAGTTCGTTAATTTAATATACATTTATGGTAAATTACTTACTACTCAATGTGATTTAATATGAATTTGTTTTCAAGTTTGTGTAGATTATAGTATTCAGTATATTTATATATTCAATATTTATGCCTAATTTGGCTTTCAATAATTAATTATTAAAAATACCACAGTTTACTTGTTTTTGAGATAGCTGTTCTCTGCTCTATACTCTATACAGAGTAGCCGGAGCACAAATGTCCGATTTGTTCTTTCAGTAATTATACTGTCTACACTACATTGCAACACTTAACAAATAACTATCCAACCAGGGCCGGCTTTAACACTACCAGCGCCCTGGGCGAGATTTTTACGGCGCCCTTCACCTGCAATTCAACCCATTTGGAAAAAAGAAAACATCTAATGAAATAACCGTTTATTAAAAAAATATTATAAAAGATAACCATTAATAGAACCACTAATAGAATTTTACTTTTCTGGCCTTTCTATCAGCAACTCTTTTATAAGGTTGTCGAAGTCGATGTTTTCAGCAATTTCGTTCTCAATTGACACAGTTGCTAAGTTTGTCAATCTAGATTGCGAAATCGCTGATCGAAGATAGGTTTTCATTAGCTTCAGCTTTGAAAAGCTCCCACTAGCAACCGTTACAGGTATAGTTAATAAAATTCGCAATGATATCCATACATTTGGATACAGTTCTTGTAATGTTAAATCGTTGATAAAATTTATAACAAAATGGGAGTAACCACATTTTTATCAGATGGATGCCAGACTTATAAGTTCATCACATAACATACACCATCTATGTCTGATTTAGAGTCTACAGTTAATTTTAATTGGAAAACAGAGCTTGAGAAAGTCGCGTTTTTCTGGAATCTGTTTAATATTGTACAAAAAGACCAATATTCCGAGTACTCATTTACTGTTCGAACCTTTCATTGATTGAAATTAATGTTGTCCAAAGACGTTGAAAAATTCAACCTCAAATTTTTTTCTGGAGAAGTTATAGGGTCATCGCGTGCAATTTCACCAGCTTGACGCTCAATTTCTAATTCTTCAGCCAACTCCTTCGCAGTTAAATAGCGCTTTTAAAGCCCGTATTTCTGTAGTCTTCCAAAAAATTTCGGCATTTTTTCAACATTTGTGTACATTTACTAAGATCCATATCTGTTGACTGTGGAGATTTACTTACAACATTTATTTGATGAAGTATGTCATACCAAACAACCATGAACTATGAAGCTGAAATCTTTAGTTGTTCGGCTAGAGTAGTAGCTTCATGAGACATTTGAACATCAGTTTTTCTGAGTTTCAAGAGCCAAAAGTAATCAAAGCATCATGGATAGTACTAATTTGATAACGGACTACTGTAACACTACTTATTCTTGCTTCCCAACGAGTGTCACTGTGCTTTTTTTATAGTATATAGTCTCCAAGTGATCGGTTATTTTTCCATCGATGAACAGAAGCTGAGTGGTCTGAAATATCACCCTTCATAGCTAATCGCAAGTGCTCCTGCATGACTAGATGAAATTTGGCTAGTATTTGTACAAAGCCTAAAAACTTTCCGTTATTTGGCGTATATAGTTTGTCAGAAGTGCCTCTGAACGCCATATTGTTTTCGGCTAAATAAAGTGTGATATGCATCAATCTAGACAAAACATTATTCCATCGTTTTTTTCTATTTTTATCGTAGTTCAGCTTCAATCCATGAAAAGTAAAACTTCTTATGAAAAGTGCTATTTTCATGATTTTTTAATATTTCAGACAAGTATTTCCAGTTGTTTATACCCTTGAGATACTAAGTTCGACGTTGAGCTACTATCAAATAGTCTACAACAAAACAATAAACTCGATCCTTAGAAACGGAGTAAATTAACCAACGGCGCTGAATTGTTTCATTGTTTGTAAGATTTTGTGAAATGAGAATTAGAGAAATGTCGGCCTGCATTATTCTTCGGATAATTATCAATGCGAGTTTGCACTCGGCCACTAGTAATTATGTGATCAATGATTTTGCCATTTCGAGTGACTGGCCAAGTGGCCAATTTCGCTATCCCATGCGATGAGCGAGTTTGTTTACGCTTTCGCTACAATAACGCTAGCTTTTTTAACCAAAACGTTAAAAGACAATGTGTTTTTGACAATAGACAAAAAAACGCTTAATTTAGGGATTTACGAGACGATAGCAGACCTCGAACTATGAGCAATCAGCCGGGGGCGCCTGCAGCGCCCCTTTTTGCCGGCGCCCAGGGCGGTCGCCACCTCGCCCTACCCTAAACAAACTGTATCCAACTATGTTTGGTAAAATTCTCAGTTAACTCCTAAATTATAGAAATGTTTTTTTTAGCT